TGATTGTTGATTGTTGATTGTTGATTGTTGATTGTTGATTGTTGATTGTTGGTGATTTTTGATTTTTGATTGCTGCTTGTTGCTGCTTTTTGTTGCTGCTTGAAAGTCTATTGTTTTCCATTTGTTCTTGCAAGAATGAAGAGGGAGGGGATGGTGGGAGTGTTATGTTGCAGAAGGTGCTGATTTTTTTAGTTATCAAGTGGCTGGTTTTGTGCTTGCAACAAAAAGGAAGGAAACTTGTGCTTCTCAGCACACTTTGTACAAAGGAGACATTTTTTTTGTTAAGTGCTTCTGGTGAGTATGCTTCATACCAAGGCTACAGAAGGATCTACAGAAAATACTGGTATGATAATCTTATCAGATTTAAAATAGAAGGCATGAATTAGTACAAGTTACATATCTAAGGGTTAAGGTCATTACTACAAATTACATAACTTAGGTTTAAGGTCATTATTATTGAATATTGTGACTTCCACTGCCACTGAAGCAGACCAGCAATCCAATAATGGTTCTAGTAGTTGCGAAGGTACTACTACTAGTAGAACGAAGGAAAATGAGGTGGAGACAGGTCCGGAGTCAGTAGAAATTGTACATGGCTCTACAGAGGGAGGAACAATACACCTCATTTGCCTTCCCAACTTGAACCTGTCTCATTCCGAAAAAACAATAAGTATTTTTCTATTGAAATATTTGGTGTAGAACTAATTTGTACGTAGGATGCTACTACAGCAGAGGACCTTGAGGGGATCATACTGATGAGGGCACTGAAGAAAAATCTGCTTGTTGGCCGATCAATCTGAGACTTCCGGATCCCCTTCTTATTATCATAATGAAGTTATTCCAGTATGCGTGGAGGGGAAGTGTCCCTAATAGCTCTGTCTGGAGGGTGAGGCAAACCTTGTGCTGGTTTTTTTTTTTACTAGTAAAAACTGTGTTTTTTTTGTGTTCGTCCTGTCACAGATTGGGTCATTCCCGATAGTCTAGATGGTCTAAAATTCTAAATGGTCTAGTTTAGACTTTTTAGTTTAACGGGAATCATTAAAAACAGGGTCCCAACGGACAGTTCTTTAGGCCCTCTTCTACTTTAATGGAATCTGGAATCTCAACAGAAATGACTAAAACTAGAAAAGCGCGCACGCAACG